ATCACTTTTGCGATTGCAAAAACAGCGTCGCAACGCGATTTCTTCGCTATGTGGAGCGATCGCTATGCGAGGCACCACTGTACTCATTTTATCGACCTTGGAAGGATAGAAGGCTGAGTCAACCTTGAGCCAGCTACCTGAGATTGAACCCCAGGTTGTGAGCACAGTTTTAGCTGTCTTTTCACTGTTACAATGATTTCAGGTCTAATTCTACCAGATTTATTTGTCTAGATTGCTTCTCTGTATACCATATGAATGAATTAAAATCCAAAATACTGAAGACATCAAAATGTCTTACAGCTATGGAAAAACTGTAGGCACAAATGCTTAAAAAATATGAAAACTAAACTTAAGTTGCAGGCAAATACTTAAGTCAGAATTCAATCCAAAATACTGCAGCATAAAAAGTACATTCTAAAAATGCAAGAGTTTGTAAAAGCACATTTTTTTTAAAAAGGCAAAGAATATATCTCTAAACATCAAATTTTAAAAAAGAAACAATATATTAAAGAAATTGACTGTCCTGGCTTCTAAACATACTAAGAAGGACACACAAAATTATTCTAAATGTTCAACCAGCCAAATCAGGGAAATGTATGATGATTGTGTTACTGTCTGTTGGAAATGAATTGTGCTGCTTTCCTGCTACATGACTGCTACTCTTTGATGTCTGGTACCCAGTATCAGTGTGTGAAGGTTCGATATTTCTCCCTCCCCTAATTTCAAATAAACCAGGAGTCTATTTTGAACCAAAGTCCAAACTTGTGTTTATTCCTTTCTGTTGAGGCAAAACATCTTTAAACGAGTCATGTTTTAGCTTATCCTGCGAAGCCAACCGGGCTTGCAAGGGTAATCAAAGTTCTGAGTCAAATGGGTTCAAAGATTTAACGTCCCAAGGTCCCGCCATAAATAGGTCATAATCAAGCACATCTGGTTCAGCATCTTCTTCCCTCAATAAGGGGGAGGTGTCGTCATCGTCATCCTCTCACCATACCGGGTCTCCCTCAACCGCAAGTTGTCCCCACGGTTCTGGAGGTACATCATCCTCCTCGCCTCCTCGGCTCGCCGTGCCTGTCGCTCTTGTGCCTCTCGCGCCATTGCTTCCTTCTCCTCCCTCAGTCATCTTCTCCACTCCCTCGCCTCTGACTCACCCCAGTATGAGGGTCGTTGGGGTAGCCCTTTCCTCCGGCGGGAGTCGGGAGTTGGCTTCTTCTCTGGGAACTTTCACCCTTTCCCATTTCCCAGTCCAAGGGTCTTCCACCCAAATGAGTTCCCCGGCTTCTTCTCTGTTGTCATCCTCCCTATTTATAACCCCCATTTCCGCCTCAGCCATGGACCCCTCCCCCTTTCTTCTCTTTCCGCCAATTTTCCTTCAGTTTGGGTGGCTATAGTCAGACCCCGTGGACTTGTCTCCAGCTCTCGGGTGTCAGTTCCCTGGTGTACTCTCTTGGGGGGTGTTGGTGGTGGAGTGGTCTGCACCTCTCTGGAGGCTCTATTTGGGGACGGCACTCATATCCAGTGTGTGTAATGTAGCATGGAGTTCATTGCTGTCTCATATTGATGAGTTGAATCTTGCTGTGTGGGTACCTCCATACAGTATATTTAAATATCTCTCCGATGTCTATACCTCCTCTCAGTATGTAAAAAATCTGTTTTCCAGGGCCTGCAAGTTCTAGGTGTTTGATGTACCAATGAAAATTTTGTTATTAGGAATCCATGTTGTATTTCTACCAGAATCAAAATCTGTCCAACTGCTATTCAGATGAAAAATTTCCTTATTATGACTAAAATTTACAAAGTCTGAAGGAATAAAGGCCTGTAATGTAAAGGATCTGATACACTAAAGTACTGTAAAATCAGAGCACTGTAGCTACAGAGCGTGCAAGGTATAGGACCTGCAAATGTCATCTCCGATTATATTAACACATTGCAACATAAATACGTTCTGCTTATTTTAATACTCTTTCAATTCTCTCTCACGGCTTGACTGTCAGCCACGAATGTAATTCCTTTTACTATGCAATGTTTATGTACAGTGACCTTGCTAGGCTGGAGAGTTGGCTACTTTCTTGCAGTGACTTTTAGTAAACTGCTGTTCAAACCTTATTTTAAAGTACAAGGTAAATTTTCAGGATTGCATTTTCTATACTGCTCTTAATTATTGTAACCATCTACACACAGAATTTCACATTTTGACACCAGTTATGTTTTATCTTCACCAATATATTGAGTTGGTACGTAGAATTTGTCTAACATATTGTATCTGTTCCTGTTCCACCATGTTCCCATTCTACCTCCAATTTTGTTGTCTGGTTCTTTCAGTTTCAACTTTTGGAAGAGGTTTCTAAACCTATTTCCATAGGTTTCTATATTGTTCTAGCTGTCAATATGTTTGGAAAAAGGAATGTTGAAAAATTAATATAAAATTGATAGAAATCCCAGTTCTCTCCTGCTTTTTAAGAAAACAGCTGCCTCATCTCTGTCTTAGCCCACATTTCCTCACTCAGCATTCAGTATTGCAATCCTAATTAACTGGATCTCCAAGATCTACTTGTTAAAATAGGTAAATCCCAAAGAGTAGCCTGAAGAATGATGTGAAAGATAATGTCAGTTTTCAGGTTATGAACTTCATTCTATAAAACTGATACCAGGAACTCAGTTTGTCATTTGTAGAGGTGGATTTAAAAACATCAATATCTGTTTTAAAACATAGCTATTTTCCAAATTAGAAAGCATTATTATTACATCATGATAATATATACAGGAAACGCTTAAATTTATATGGCTGATGGAGTTGCTGTTAAAATGTTTGTTTGAATGCACCAGTGCCCTTGAAATATTGGTTACTGTTATATATTGGTCATTGTGTTAATTTCAGAAATTGATTCATTCCTTGAAATACAGTGGTGCCTCGCTTAACGATGTTAATTGGTTCCAAAAAACATCACTATGGGAAAACATCGTTAAGTGAAATTCCCCCATAGAGAACATCGTTAAACGATGGGGAAATTTCCTCAAAGAAACCCATCGCAAAGCAAATACATCGTTAAATGAAGCAATCGCTAAGCAAGGCACCACTGTACTTCAGCCTTTCGTAAGAGCTGGGGGGCAGCAGCGGCAGAGGGGTGTAAAGTTTCCCTTCACCATTCATTGCAGTGGCAGCTCTGTTTACATCTCTGTGTCAAAGTGATATTGGAGATGGAAGTAAAAGCAAGAAAAATAGTGGGAGCTCATTAAACATTTTGAACAAGTCAGTGAAATCTCAAACATACACACAGTGTGTATATATAGAGTTCTTTTAAGGAGAAAGGTGGGATAAAAATATTTTAAATAGTAATACTTTATTACGGTCAAAGACCAGTAAAACCAAATCATTATAAAATAGATACATATAATTATTGTTTCGTAAAGTCGGGCAGGGTAATAAAAATTTTAAAATAACAAATAATACACTTTTGAAATCTTTCTTACTAATATGCTGGTATATAAAGGCACATTTGATGTATAGGCAGACCCATCTGGTATCTATAGCTAGGAAAGCTGCTCTGTGGTAGGCTGTATGGTAGAAGCTTCAGTTCATATTGAAGTTGATATTACCATATATGTTGGTTGTATGTTATGTGCTGTCAAGTTGTATGTGACTTACAGTGACCCTGACAAGGTTTTCAAGCTATGTGAGACACTTACATGGTTTTACTGGATACACCTACCAGTGATTTCCACACCCAAGCAGGAATTTGAGCCCAAATCTCCTGACGCCTATCCTGTCACTCTATCCACTACTCCACACTGACTCTTGGGGTATATACTGTGCATTTGTTTTGTAATTACTGTTCATGATTCTGAAGTCCATAAGAATGCAGGGCTGGCTTATAAACTGTTTGAATGAATAAATAAATGACTTTCTAGACACATTGTGAGAAGACAGGATCCTGTGGAAAAGACAAGAGTGCTGGAAAAAAGGAAGACCAAATATGAGATAGACTGACTCCTTAAAGGAATTACAGGCTTGAGTTTACAAGAACTGAGAAGGGCAATTGAGAGTAGGACCTTTTGGCAACTTTATTGCACATAACAACAGCAATTCTGGACAGCATTTGTGTAACTCTGAATTCTCAAATGATGTGAGAGAGTAAATCGCTTTCTACAATTTCTCCACACCCTGTGTAATTGTATAAACTTCTAATAAGTTCTTCTTACTTACTTTTTCCCCCAAGGTAAAAAGCCTCAATCTTTGTAGCATTTCCTGTCACAATTTTGCTCATTTCTATCATTCTTTTTCTGCATTTAATTGCAGTCAAATCTAGCTTTATACTCAGTTTGGAAAAATGAACTGCTGTCATTTTTTTGTAAATACTAATTTGTGAATTGTGATTAGTGAAAAGATATGTAGAATGTAGAACATTCAGATAAATGTATTTTTGGGGATTTGTAGTTTTTATTATAATCTGAATTTTATTATCAGTTAGAATACACTCCTTAACTGGAACTGAAACTCAAAAATAGCTAGTTCTTAGTTTTATCAGTATAGTGACTCCAGGTGATAATGTTAGTTATTTTAACTTTCTTCATTGCAGTGACTTCTTTGAACGGACCATTCTGTGTAATAGCCTTGTCTGGAGCTGTGCTGTCACAGGTAAACCTGGACTCACCTATCAAGAAGCACTAGAATCAGAAAAGAAAGCCAGACAAAATCTCCAAAACTTTCCAGAGCCACTTATTGTTCCAGTCCTATACTTAGTTACCCGCACACAGCGCTCACGACTTCATGAAGTTTGTGATGACATCTTTGCTTATGTTAAGGACCGTTATTTTGTTGGTGAAATTGTTGAAGTACTTAGGAATAATGGTGAAAGGTAAGCATTGATATGTTTCCGTATTTTTCCCATTTTAAAAAACAGGGGCCTCAGTGCAGATGTTGTGTTCCTAATTTAACAACTATTAGGAAACTCAGCCTAATACAAATAGAAAAAGGGTTGAGGGCTGCTGGTAATGAAACGAAGAGAGGTGGCATGGAAACATCTACTGTAGTTCTTTTCAATGAATTAAACTTTTCAGGGCCAGATAAGCTGCATCCAAGGATACTAGAAGAATTTGTGCATGTAATCTCAAAGACAGTCTGTAAACTTTGAGAATTCTTGGCAGACAGGCGAGGTTTCTGAAGACTGGAGGCAGGCAAATGTAATCCCTGTTTTTAGAAAAGGGAAGAAAGAGGATCTATACAAGAGCATCTATACAAGAGCATCTGTACTAACCAATCAGTTTGATATCAATACTGAGAAAGGTTCTAAACCAGATTGTTAACTAGTTGGTCTTACTGTTAGGAAAAGCATATTGTGATTATTGAGATCAGGCACGGACTTCTCAGAAATAAGTCAAGGGGACTAGTATTTTTTAATGAAGTTATATGCTTGGTAAATTTCAGCAAGGCTTTTGACAAGATTTGTCCCAGTGTTCTTGTGGCCATGCTGGGAAAATATGGGCTAGACAAATATACACTTAGGTGGATTTGTAGCTGGGTAACAGATGTTTTCTAAACTGTTCCTCATCATACTGGAGAGAAGTAGTGTGCCACAGAATTCTGTCTCATGAGTGGTCGCAATGACCAGATAGGCGGGGTATAAATGGAATAAATAAATAAATAAATTTGTGTTCAACAGTGTTTTAAAGGCTTGGATGAGTGTGTGGATGGAACACTTATCAGACCTACAGGTGACACCAAACTGGGCATGACTAACAGAATTGCAGCATTGTTCAAAATCTTTCTAAATGATTTGGACAAGGGAATGGAGAAGGCTGCTCATTAAGTTTTCATATGACAACAAACTGGAAAGGATCATTAATACGTCAGAAGACAAAATCAGGATTCAAAATGGTCTTAACAGATTGGAGAGCTTGGCCCAAACAAAGAAAATCAGTTTTGACAAGAAAAATGTAAAAGTCTGCATTTAAGTAGAAAAATCAGATGTGCAAACACAGGAAGGATAATAGCTTGGCACAGTAGTGTGCATGAAAGGTATTTAAAGGTCTTGGTTTACTACAAGTTAAATGTGACTTAGCGATGTCATGCAGTGCCAAAAAACAAATGAATGCAATACTAAGCTACATCAATAGACATACAGGCTGAAATCCTGTTGGCACAAATTTATGCTGCAGAAACCAGTTGATGTCTTCTTATTCCTCCCTCCTTTAGACTCCAAGACTCCATAGAGATCCCTTATGCACCATGGACAGAAGTGAGGAGAAGCCTTTAATATCAGAAAAACTCCACTCAGTTGCTGCTTATTGTCCCAATCCAGTGGCAGGACCACCAATAGTGATTTTCTGGTATTAAAGTAACTCTCCTCCCTAGTCCTCAGGCTCCCAAGGGCTTTCCAAGAGTAAAAGGGATTCCTAAGGATTCTCAGAACATCATCAGTGTTGCAAAGCATAAATTTATAACAGGATTTCAGTCACTGTATCTAGATCAAACAGTAATATTCTATTCTGCTTGAAGAAAAGATTGTAGAATTTAAATATCCAATAAGTCTGTAAAACATACTATTTTGGCATATAAGGCAAAAACAAAAGAAAAATAAATAAAGAAGACAAAAATGTTGTGGCAGCTTAAAGACTGAGTGCTCTATTTTAAGCAATTAGTTTTTAAGGTGCCACAATGTTTTTGTCTTTCTTTTTCTTTTTGTCAGATATGCTAGCACAGACTAACACAACTACCTCTTCTAATACTATTTTGACAGTTTCATATGCTCATATTGGATATATTAAAAGCGAGGCTAGAATCCTATTGGTCATAACTAAGAATACTTTTGGGTACTACTATCCAGTGGTATGTATTCATAAAGCAGTTGTAAAGAACACAATCTATAAGTGTTAACAAGAAGAAAAAGAGAGGCAATATAACTTACAAGCAAACACATACTTCATTCACTGACAGAATTCTTCTCTTCCACATTTCTTCTGTACTTCACTATTCCCCATTCCTGGGGCTATCTTAACTGTATTAGGACTGTCCATTCATCCATACTTATTTACTGAGTGCATAGTCAGAAGCTAGCTAGCTTAGTAAAAATGTTAATTTAAATCAGTACCAGACAACTGTGGCCTTCCAGCTATTGTTGGGCTGCAGCTGCTATCAGTTCAATAACATTCAGAAGGCCATAATTGCCCACTCTTGATTTGAAGGAACTGTGTAGCTTCTGCAAATAGATGTTGAAATGATTCAGGAAGACAGAAGTTGCCCACGAGCATAGCTATTGTTGGCCACAGTATCCTCTTCCTTCCAGTCATAACTAATGAATACAGCTAACTGAACTGAAACAAATGAACTAATGAATGCCGTTATAACCATAATATGCAAATAAAATTCTGATCTATTATTCAATTGACAAGACCTGGTACTTTCAGCAATAGCAATTAGTCTGCATGTTTAAGCTTAATAATTAAAGGAGTATCATATTCTTTCGAAATCAGTTGTCTTATATTTGGCCTCAAATGTGTGATGTATGTGTGTGTGTAGATGATGTATATGCATGTGCATCCCATACCCCGCTCTTAAAATGGCTTGGAAAATAAATGGGCCATTATTAAGACTCGATACACAACAACTATGTTATCCTTGTTTATTTGGGTCATCAAAGATAATAAGGGATGAGCTTTTGCTAGTGCAAATACTTAAGCAGCGTAAAATTCTTTATTTGCCACATTCTTGTGAAAACCGGTTTCATTGCCGAGTTTCCAAGTAACAAAATAGAAATTCCCATTAAACCACTTACTTACCATATGGATAAAACAATAGGTTTCATGATTTATTAGAGACAAATAAAATAAATGATGGCCAATATCCTCCAATATCCAGAGCTATCCACCAGCACAACAGGAATGACATCATCTGTAGTGGCTGGTACTGTTAATTAAAGACTCCTTTTTTCTTTTTTGGGGTGTGTATAATTCTGTATCATGCACCAATCACATCCTGAAATCAAAAAAAGTAAATCAGTGACAATATGCTGCTGCAGGTGACATCATTCCCACTGTCTACTGAGCTTTGCCAGAGAGTACTAGCCAATGACTAAAAACTGCTTGACCTGTACAGTTGTTTCAATTCAGAGGTTCCTTCTGCATGCACCCAGTGTCTTCCACTCATAGAAGTACTGTGATACTCATTCCAGTGTTACATAGGAGAGGTGAAAATAAATCTAAATACTTCTGTTTCTGCAGGAGCTTGATAAAGTACAGTGGTGCCTCGCACAGCCAGGGTTAATCCGTCCCGGATTAACCCTCGCTGTGTGAAACATCGCTGAGCGGGGCAGAAAAGCAGTGTTTAATGCGTTCCAATCGGCTGCTGTACTCATCGTTCAGCGATGTTTCTCCGA